TCGTATAGTGTGAAAGCAACATACCCACGACCGTCTGCCCGCACGATTAACACTCGTACGAGCGAAAACGTATAGTGTGAAAGGAGCGTAAGAAAGCCGAAACGAGTCTTATCTCAATTTCTGTCTGTATGTCTGTTTGTCCATTCTGTGACTCCGTCTGTATCGCCAAAATGTCATTTTACGCGGCCTACTCCTAGAAAACTAGAGTACCGATCAAGGTATTAATCATTTTTCTGTATTTACTGGATTGGTGAGAGTGTCTTTGGCTATAAAAACATGGCCTCGCTTCTTTAAAAACAAAATAACGAACCACCAAAAACCCAATTTTGTTCGATTTTTGTCAAATTTTCTCCCAATGTTTACTATTACATTTTATGAAATAACGATCAGCTGTTTGGATTAGTTCTCAATTCTAGCTGTCACTGATATGTTTACATTAAAAGTTGTTTACAAATACCGCAACCATTTCCGATAAAGTTTTGTCAGCACATCCAAACCAAGTGAGATTAAAAACGTTGTGCCTTACTTAACCGGTTTAATTAATCGTTAAATTAATTAATGGGTACTCATATTTAAATGGAATTAAAGAATCTTAACAGCTGGTTCAACTAAAGAATTTGATTCTATGATCTTCAATAGCATTAAGAATTTAATAGGCTTACCAACAGGGTGCAGCATTATTTTTTTTTTCTTTAATTATGACAACAGCTAATTTGCAACCAAAAGGTGAGTGAGCGTAGCGAACGAACTTCAACCCGGAGGTGAGTTAGCGTAGCGAACGAGCTAACCTGAAGGCAAGTGAGCGCAGCGAACGAGCTCCAACCTAAAGGTGAGTAAGCGTAGCGAACGAACTTCAACCAGGACGTGATTGGTCCATGCGAACGAGCTCATCTTGAAAATGAACTAGCATTTGACATAAAACCACATTAGGACAGGACGACGTCTGTCGGGTCAGCTAGTCTATCTATATAAATAAAATTAGAGTTTTGTCTGTACATTGCTTAGAATAATGAACTTTTTGGTTATTTTTACATTTCATAGGTCAGAGAAACCGAATCAAACCTTATCTCAATTTCTGTCTGTCTGTCTGTCTGTCTGTCTGTCTGTCTATCTGTCATTCTCTTGGTAACGCTAAAATACGCACTTTATTACAACTACTCCTCAATAACTATAGCACTGTCCCGCCTGAAACTTATTTTCCAAATACTATACATATATGAGATGGTTTTAGACGTATTTCATCGAATATGAGACAGTTAGATATTTAACAGTAAACCCTTGAAAATCAAGTTTTTGTCGATTTTTGACGTGGAATTTCTGGAAGCCCATGTTAACCTTATGAGAAATGAAATTATTGAATCTTAACAGCTGTTTCAATTAAACAAGTTGGTTCTGTTCTGTGATGTTCAATAGCATTAAAGTTACAAGGATTACCAACAGGGTGCAGCACTAGCACTATTATTTCTTTTACATTTATGACAACAGCTAATTTGCAACCTGGAGGCGAGTGAGCGTAGCGAACGAGCTAACCTGAAGGCAAGTGAGCGTAGCGAACGAGCTAACCTGAAGGAAAGTGAGCGCAGCGAACGAGCTCCAACATACAGGTGAGTGAGCGTAGCGAACGAACTTCAACCAGGACGTGATTGAGCCATGCAAACGAGATCAGATAGTAAAAATAAAAGTAAGCCTACCGTTATAGGATCGACCGGCAGACACAGAGGTAATTTAACCTTTTATTGATTGTCATACCGATCCGGAACAACAAAAAACAACATAAAATGAAGCTATGTATAATAGTTTGGCCAGCATATCTTAAAATATGCAAACCAACTGCTGTTCTTTATATAAGAAGGTTTCAACTGAATATTATAAGATCCCCGTGCGTAGAACGGGTACACAGCTAGTTATATTATTAAAGTGATACAATCAAATTTTATGTAAACGGTTAAGGTCATTTACCAAATAAAAATATAGTTATATGGCACATCAAATTGAAGCTTAGAGTGTGTAGATTTGCCGAAAAGTATTGATATGGACGAATTTCCTAAGGGCTCTGCCCCACAGGCTGATTTCCAAAGGGCTACGCCTGGCATGCTTCCAATGTTTAAATGATTTAATTTAATTTAGTTAATGAAACAGCTGGTCAGTACAATGAACTGGTGTTTGTTTATTTACTTGAAAAAAAAAATATTTGTGACGCTTTATGTAGATTGAGGAGGGTTATGTTCGGTTTTAAAGTGAGGTTGTATACGTTTTGTAATGTATTGCTCAGAGTTTTATTTTTTAATTTATATAGTAAGCTACATGTGAAGAGGCTTGACTAAAATTAATTGAAGAATTCTGGTAAAACATGTCATTCATGAAGCATCAATATAAAGCAATTGACGCTATTGGTACACTAAGATATGTTGTCATATTCTTATGGATCTATTAACATCAAAAGTAGGAGTTTGAAAGTAAGTAGGTTTACGCCTTTAAATCAGTTTATATTTTCAAACTAAATCATAGAGTTGCTGTATTTTAAAACACACATCAGCCCACTTTTAATAGCTCTCTAGGTCACATTTTCTTGCAAAGCACGGGTATAGCAGCTTGTGTATCTTTAATATTTTAAATGTGATCAATTACATCCCTTTAATTGAGGTTCCTGTCTTAAGGAGAGGGTTGACATTTTTCGAGGAAGTTTCCCATCAAGAACTTGCATTCAAGTATGAGGTTGATATGTGTACGGCTAATCAAATGCATCCTAACTTTATATACTTTATTATCCTAACTTTATAGCCAATGATCGATGATGATATCAGAAAACACGATACTAATTATAAAGAAGCAATTACTAGCAAAGAGAGACTCGCTATTTGTTTATTTGTATCGGAGCACGTGGTATTGAAGTGTTCACTGGGCATGCACTAGAGATCATGGACGGACGTTTAAGAAAAATCGCTCTCCGAGCGATTCACACGAAACCGTCGCGGATGTAACTAACTACCCAATTGTCCTCACAGAGAAGTAAGATAGAAGAAGTAAGATAGATATCCAGACGCCGGTGTGAAAAGACCTTTATAACGTCACATCTCAATGCCGAAATATAAACTTGAAATCAGTCTTGGGAGTCGGTACTTATGAAATGCAATTTTCAACATTAAAGTTACAGTAGGTCGAATGTTTAGAATATTTCTACTCATGTGTACCTGTTAACTTCTCTGGGAAAATAGGGCTGTACCTTTAGCAAACTCATATTCAAATTTATACATCCCGAAACCCCCCAACTCAAAATGCAAAATATTTACTTTTTGACAAATACCGATATCCCTATTTCTTTAAGGGTAGTTCCTTGCTAACACAATAGGTTAGTAATTGGCAACACTCACTGTAAAAGGACTTTTACCAAGACTTCTCTGCCGTGAATAACTGGGACTGCAACACGATTTATTCAGGTGTGGGTGGTTGTAAAATGTTGTACCACAGACTAGAGGAGTCTGTGTACGTACCTAATCAGTGCCTGTAGACTGCAACATCAAGTAAAAGTAGAGTAATAAACATGTCCTTTCAACGAAGTTATATTTTCTGGTCTGCACACAAATCACGAAATTGTCCTCTCTTCGAAGGTAAATTTCCTATGTCCTCTGATAGTTGATATATTTTCGAAAAATTGCACCCAGCTAAGCCACAAACAACTTGTGTAAAAGGAAACAGGGTCCGGCACGTACCACGACCACTAACTTTAACACACTTTAAAGTTTAACACTTTAACTACAGGCCGCGGCCTGGTAGAATTGGCAACGTCGCAAGTGGTGTTGTTTAGTGGCAGACGTCCCATAAGATAACATGGCGAACAGGTAACATCAGCTCATTAATTCGCGATTTATAGATTTAAATTTAAGAAAATACAGTTATTAAAATATTGTAAATAAAACATACAGTACATACTGTCGATCCGGGCTTAATGGCAGTACAGGCCATATGAGCGGTCGCAGGGCTACTACCCGTCCTGACGACATGTGATCGAATTCTGACTGTGGCTGTTGCCGCGACACGACTATGCAGCAGGCTCTGCATGACTCATTGTCTGAAAGTGAAGGAGCTTCTACTTGGCCCACCTTTCCAGCAAATTTCCTACTTTGTATTACTTTTAGTTTCTACTACCTACTTTGTCTTAATTTTGGTGGGTTTTAAATCAAAACTGACATTCGCATTTGAGAAAATAAAAATAAACCAACAATGCAATAAGTTGTAACATTATAATAGTATATATTAAAATAACATTTTCGAATAGCATAATTTATTATTATTATCTTATAAAACCTACGTATTAGTAGCTAGCACGCGGGAAGTTGGGGTCCTCCTATTGGGAATCACAAATATAAATGTAAGTTATTGTTTATGATCATTTATTTGCACGGGTTACGTGTCCTACTTTTTCATAGTTCAATGCCCTTTTCCTTTGGAGTTGATGAGAGGTATGTAGTCTTGCAATTCTCACGGTGACACAATATAACCAATATAACCAAATGCTGTGGCGATTCCCGGAAACGGAAGTGGAATAAAAATACCTCTTCTGCCTCATTTTATAATTCAAATTCAGTGACTGTTGGTTCTCGGTTGGATTTGGGTGCTTCTCTATACAGTTGTGCATGTATTAGTGTTTCTCTATACAGTTGTGCATATATTAGTGTTTCTCGATAAAGTTGTGCATATATTAGTGTTTCTCGATACAGTTGTACATACATTAGTGTATAGTGTCAGTTAGTGGGGGTTTGTTGTGAAATGAATAGCAACGCTGGTGGCGCTGCCTACCGATTGACAGGCAAAGCTCTCTCAAAACACTTAATGCTTTTTACCATGCGGTTGGCATTCTGGGTTATAGTAGTACGTTTTCTGTGTCCAAACTTACCTGACTTTAAACGAACTACTTTATGGGAACTTCTCAAAGATTCAGGATTCTGCTTCGAACGGCGGAATAAGAAGTCATTACTTTTCGAAAGAGAGGATATAATTGTATGGAGGCACTCTTATTTGAGACAGATTCGAGAGTACAGACGACAGAAAAAAAAATAATTTACCTCGATGAAACCTGGGTAAATGTCGGACACAAAGCAAACAAAGTGTGGGTAGACAAGACTATAACTACACCAAAAGACGCTTACATGGCGGGATTAACGACTGGATTGAAAGATCCGACCGAACGAGGGCCTCGGTTCGTAATCACACATGCCGGAGGTGAAAATGGTTTTGTGAAGGAGGCAAAAATGGTATTTCTAGCAAAGAAGGGAAAGGAAGATTACCACGAAGAGATGGATGGCCCAAGATTTGAAAAGTGGTTCGACCAGCTTCTACCAAACCTTCAATCCAACTCAGTAATTGTAATGGATAATGCTCCATACCATTCTGTGAAAGTAGAAAAGGTACCTAACACGAAATCAAGAAAGGAAGATATAAAAAAAATGGCTCAAGGAGAAAAATATAAACTTCCCTGACGACAGCTTAAAAAGAGAACTATTGAATGAGGTAGGCAAAGTTAAACACTTGTACTCGGCCCACGTCGTCGATGAGCTCGCAAAAAGAAAAGGATTTTCAATTTTACGTCTACCTCCTTACCATTGTGAACTCAACCCTATAGAGTTTGTTTGGAGCCAAGGGAAAAGGCACGTGGCTATGCATATCACTCAGTTTAAACAAGACGTAATGGTTAAATTGATTGACAACGCCGTCAACGCATTCGACTTAGTTGCAAACGATCAGTGGAAGGCCGATAACCTGCAGGACGACATTGAGCCCTTCATTATCCAGCTGGGCGTCTCATCCGATGAAGAAGAATCTTTCTTGAGTGAAATTGACGCCTGTTCAACAACCAGTGAAATGTCTGGAGTAAATCAGTTATAATAAAGGTAGGCCTAAACACCTTAATCATTCTGCAAGATTATTTAATACAAATTGTACAGTAAAAAATCAAAGAACTTCGGCTTTATTTACCAAATCTTTGTATTTATATATATATATATATACTCTGTATGATAGAACAATCCGGAAAAAATATTTGGAAGTTAACTTATCATTCACCTACTGACAATAGCACAATGATTTCTTATTGTCATTGTCTATATTTTGTACTGTAGTAGCCTATACAGAATATACAACTGTTCATTCAATGGAATACTTGTGCTTGATAAATTCTCATTGCACAGTAAATAATTGTTGGTAACATTCTAGCCTTGGATATTTTATAGATTTCAACGACACAATTTAAATTAGCCTTGTCTTAATGTACTTTAATACATACAATTACTGTATATTGCGTTTAAAGCATATAAAAATTATGAATATAAAATATATAAAAAAGTTTAAATACGTGACCGCTGGAGGTTAGTTGCAGCGCATGCTGAAAGCGGTCACGTATCACTAAAGCTACCATATCTCAGTTAATACTTGTCCAATCTAAAAAAATAAGGTCTCAATCGATTTGTAATAAGATTGCCTTAAAAAAGTTATTCTTGTAAAGTTTTTGTAAAATCAATGGTTTTCGGGTTATTTAAGAAACAACATTTTAAATGGTCGCCATTTTGTTTTATGAATTTGAAAAATCATCATGTATGATTTTTTGGTAGCTTTGTCTAGTAGTCATAAATGTTTGGGCAAAAATTCCATTTCGTATGTTTAACCATTCTTTAGAACAAATAATAACTGAAAAAAAAACAAAATGACGGCTGTGTGAGTAACTAAGGACTTCCGGACAATTTAAATATAATATTTTACAAAAAATTACCATTTACGAAATTCGACGTTATCATCTACACATTAAAATCGCAAGAGAAAGCAAAATAGGTCAATGATTTTAATGGCCCGATTTCCTCGTTGCTGTGACACCGCTCTGTACAGCGAACCCGTAGAGCGACCGATGTCAGCAGTATGGCTAGTACACAGAGCAAAGAATTGTTATTCTTTGCTCTGTGGGCTAGTAGCGTGTAGTAGCAGTTGCGCCGAGTGGCATTTGCGCCGCGGATTAAATCGTGCTTCCAGCGCCGCGGAGTTAGATTAGTTCAATGGTGCAGAAGTGACGAGGGTCATAATTACTTACACATTACTTGACTGAGTTGATTGTAAATAGTGTCGTTTTCCATACTCCTAATTAACTTGTACTAGTAGTGCACTATTGCACATAAAAAATGATTAAACACTTGTATACCACCACATGCAGTATTGAGTTAGTATAGATATTTTTCGTGAACTATAATTATTATAACCAGTAGACATTTCTACTTATCACATTACTAATTTAGGAGAAAGGGGGACTTTTGTTTTCCTATGAAGTTTTTAGAAAATAGTTGCACCAGGATAGTCTGCGGTGCTATGTGGAATGCAAACAGCTCGGCATATTGGTATTCGGGGGATTTGCTAGGGGTATATATCCCCATACCTGTCGTAGTAACCCACTCCCTTATGTTACCTTTGGTCACTCAATGGTGTTGTCATTGTCAGTTTCGAGTAGAATTTAGCAGAATGAACATCGTAGAATCCACAAAGAAGGGCTCGGTTTTCAATAATTTCGTCTACTACAATAATTGACCTACTGTCCATTATATCATCGATATGTCGTACGATTGATAAGAATGCAACAATAAGCTACAATAAAACCTTTCTGAAACCTCTAACCGAATAAATGAATCGATAAATAATTTCGAACCATGCGATTGCTTACAATCGACATTTACAACTGTTCACAACAGTTGACTTGTACTCCCTAGGGACTAAAAAGGCTTTTTACTACTGGTGATTAAAAACGTTATATAGTTTAGACCCATATGGTTTCGTCTTTTGTTTGCTATCTAAAGGTTATACATCGAAGTGAAGGATCACGGGTTCATACATTTTTTTTTTTTTTTTTTTTTTTTTAAGAGGTTGGCAGCCTCTTTTAACCTTGCATTTGCCCGTCCACATAGACTAAGCGCCCGTGCGTGGATCGTTTACAGCAAAGCAAGGAGTGAGCCGGTACAGTACAAAAGTGAACTGTACTGATAAAATGTTATCGGCAGTGACCAGGATCCGAACCCACGACATCGCTGCCTTGGGACCGAAGTCCGCGACGCTACCGACTGAGCCACCGACTCACTAAAACCATACAACATAACATAAAACCTCATTATAAAAAGGTTTGTCATAATTACAGGTTCTAAAAAAGTTAACCATGTAAATAAATCAATAACTTGAGGGGGGGGGGGGGGCAAGCCCAAAATGACACTTTTAGCTACCATTCGTCCCTCTGCTATATCATAAGATGTACAAGGACACCTACATCGAAAACATTGGTTAATCAAAACGGGTGAAAAGTTATTTCACAAATAACCTTATGGTATCAGGTACACAGTTTCATTGTGTGTTAACACTTAGTTAAACTAAACAGACAATACCCCCGCCGCAGCAAACCTGCCGACTAAGCGAATTTCCATATGTCTGAATTGATTTTCAATTGACTAAACAGACAATACCCCCGCCGCAGCAAACCTGCCGACTAAGCGAATTTCCATATGTCTGAATTGATTTTCAATTGAATGTATATAAATAAAATTAGGTTTAACGAGCACCTAGGTTAGCTGCTACAAGGAAACTATTAAAGTGGAGTTTTAGTAAAATGTGGATAGCTTAGTATAAAATAAATAAATTTGCCAAGTTTGATCAAAATATATCCATAAACAAGCAAACTAAAATTACTCAAGTTATCGCGTTCACGGACGTATATAAATCTATACAAAATGAAAAAGTAAATTGGTCACGGGCCTAGGTCTTACGGTGCCACCTACGGTAATAGCTACTTCCCTATAGGGAATTCGCTAAAAACGTCCATTTTTTGAGAATTTAACATTATGGTACAGAAGATGTAAGTATCGTTAATTTATTTATATTATACCTATATGTGTAGGTAAATAACAACAGGTTTCATTCCGATATCGGTGATATCTTCATGCCAATTTTTTTTATTTTGATCTCAAATAAAAATAAATTATTTCAGACTAACAAATACTCTGGAATTAGGCCATCGCAAAACAAAGCTTGAATTCAGGGACTGAAACATGACAAACATTTTACAAACCAGGACTTTTACACAATACACCATAAATTATTCATGCCAAATTTAATCAAAATCGCACGAGAAGCGATAAGCATAGGCCGGGAGCGCGCCCGAGTTCACGTGCAAACCTCGCACTGTCAAGTTGATGATTTTTTAAATATTCGTGGGAATGGATGAGGATTTGTAATGTTTATTGAGTTGTACAATAGTATTGAACATTTGCATGGGCTTGTATATGCCGAAAGCAGGGTTTTTAGAAAATGGCTTTTAAAACTCACCCATGTTATTCTTATGGAGAAAAAGTGCCTAAAGTGAGGTCATATTACTATATTATACCTCCTTAACATTTAATGGGTCAATAAATGAAAGAATTAGCTTTTTTAGCTTGATTTCGAATATAGTTTATGAGGATTATATGTAAGGATATGTAGGCAAAGATCAGGATTTTTGGAATTAGTGGCTAAAAAATGATCCCCGTGTTATTTTTATGGGGAAAACGCCTTAAGTGGGGTATTTTTGTGGTATTGCCACTACACGTCTTAGAGAGTTATTTTGTAAACTTAATATGTACTTGTATTTCTAGACTTAAGATAAACTTAAATTGAAATAAGGCCTGTCTCAACTCCCAGGCTTCACGAAGCGCAATGTATTACTAACAAACCTGGTACAGAAACAAACTATTTTTTTTCGTAATTTCCTCTCTTTTGAGTTATTGGTAATTAATTGGTTTTAGGTAGCCCTTATACTGAAACGGCGGAGTGTACTGTGTATTGTTGTCAACCAGTGAACGATATTTGCAGATATTTTTGGTGTCATCAATTTTGCAGTTAGGCCTATTAGATTTAAAATTATGTGCAACCAGCATGCGTCACGAGCATCGAAGTATATAACACAAGTTGTGTTATACACTTCGATGGGTCACGAGGTGACTGCATGCAACCACATGGCAACCACTTTACGCTGAAAGTAAAATGTGGTAGGAACATAAGTCCTCAATAATCCTATTAGTGCAGTTGATTGGTTCCGCCTTTGTTAACCTGTCAAAACTGCTAACCCTCATTTAATTAGCTGGCGCGGCGCTGGTGCTACGCGGCGCAAATACTACTCGGCGCAAATACTACTCAACCGGCTAGTAGTACGGAAACCCAATATAAAATACATTAGCATAGGCTTTCCTGTACTGCCAACTAAAGCCCGGATCGACAGTAGTCTATATATTAATAGGCAAGTATGTTTCTAGGCAACCTTTTTTTCTCAACTCGTGTGCATCGCAGGGAAAATCTACGCATACCCTTAGAAAGATATTTTCCTGTAGAAGTGTAGAATACCTTTAAAAATTAAAATAGGCTCAAATATAAGCACCAAAAATGAATTTGAAATTAAAAAAAAAATAACATGGGCTTAATGGGTTGC